TAAGTGCTTCAGAATTGATTCCTTGAGGACCTACTCCATGATTTTTCCAGGGACTGAGATGAGGCTGACTGGCCTGTAGTTCCCCGGATCCTCCTCCTTCCCTTTTTTAAAGATGGGCACTACATTAGCCTTTTTCCAGTCATCCGGGACCTCCCCCGATCGCCATGAGTTTTCAAAGATAATGGCCAATGGCTCTGCAATCACATCCGCCAACTCCTTTAGCACCCTCGGATGCAGTGCATCCGGCCCCATTGACTTGTGCTTGTCCAGCTTTTCTAAATAGTCCCAAACCACTTCTTTCTCCACAGAGGGCTGGTCACCTCCTCCCCATACTGTGCTGCCCAGTGCAGCAGTCTGGGAGCTGACCTTGTTCATGAAGACAGAGGCAAAAAAAAGCATTGAGTACATTGGCTTTTTCCACATCCTCTGTCACCCTGTAACAAAAGCCTATATGCCTAACTCAAGCTTTGTAGATTCCATTTTTGTTCTAGTGATTTTATAAATCAGGCACTGCAAAGCTCAGCATCACAATGCCTAAGTCCCTTTGTGGATTTGGGTCTTAGTTAAAGCTGTAGTGACATATGCTTTTCACTTTGGAGATGCCCACTTCAATCCCCAGTCATGAGTCATCACCAAAGCAGGGACTTGTCTGGGAGGAGTTTCAAAATCTGTAACATTTTGGCAACAGGCAAGATTTCCTAGCTGACCACACAAACTGAGAACAAGTCAATTATTAACAGGACTGCTGCCAGCCAGAAAGAGGCCAAATTTTCTGTTTACTCATAAGGTAAATTAAACTGGTGCCACTCGTGTAAAGCCCTGAGAAATGGTCTCTGAAGCTCAAAAGGGGAGAGGGTGTAGAGAGAGAGAGAATGTAAATAGATGTGAGAGAACAGAAGTATAAATGTTATTCTGAAATCCTACCTCACGATACAAATGCTACAAACGATATTTTCATTCCATGAGCATGCATTGCTATAGCAGCAATAAGAGTTTGGAGAAGTCTATATTGGAAGAACATAGTGGTGGGCTTAACAATGTCTTTTTAAAAAATGTAAAGTTTTTCAAATTGCTTACAATGATTTTATTAAATGTAAATATTTGTACACTAAGCAGTTGTTTAGTCCTCTCTCTTTATTAAGACCTGCAGTCCAGAGCTGCAGAAAGGGGAGTGTAAAACTTTACTCCTGGGGGAATTCTGTGCCATTGCACACAAGCAGAATTCATGTCCCTCGCAGAATTTTTTTTCCTCTGCAGAAAATGCATTCTGCCAGAGAGGCACTGCAGTTATGCCTTTCACCCACCAGGGGCTGCTATGATACCAGAACAGAGAGCAGCTCCCAGGTGGGAGCAGCCCAGCTTTGGATAGGGAGAAGAGGCTTTGTTCCTCCAGTGCCCTGCCCCTGGGGCCAGGTGAGGAGGCAAGGGTTATGGAGGGAATGGACTGCTTGGGGTACATGGAGCTGCTACATGGTCACGCACTTGAGAAAGGCTCTGAAAACTTCCCAATGTAAATACAACCTCAAAAGATTTTTTTTTAAACATGAATTGCCAGATTTCTTAAGTGGAGTTGGCATTAATATTTTTAATACTATAACCTTGGACTCCTCAGAAATTAGCCTACAGAAGATTTGGCTCAAAGAAGTTATTACCCTCCTTCTTCCACTTTTAGCCTATTTACTGTATATTCCATGTGAATTACAACTGTCATAGTCATTAGGTTACTTCTCACAGTTTATGGTTTTTGCAACATTAGATGCACAACATTTTCAATCATCAAAAACCAGGCTTTGCTATCTAACATTTTTTATAAAGATAATAAAAGTTAATGAGCACTCATGATCTATGATCTGAAAAGACATCTGTTCTTTTCTTTCTGAGATGATAAAACACCCACAGTGTCTTGTTCTGGCACAGTGGGAGAGAACAAATATGATCCAATTAATCATTCTAAACTATAAGCTATATTAAGTTCTAGTTTCTCAACAGGCTTGTCATACTCTGTTAATAGGGTGCAGGTGTTCTAAAATAGCCTTTGCAATATGATTATTAAATCTTGCTTTCATCACGTGGCCAGCTCCAGCTAGTAATCCTGTTTATGTATAAAAATAAAAAAATAAAAAATAAATAAATAAATAAAATTGTTATTGCACATTTAAGACTGAGCTTCAAAACCTGCAGAAGCAAGGATAGGGAGTTCTACATATCATGGCAACAAAAGCTCTACTTCCTAACGTGTATTTTAATAGAATTTTTCATTACATACTCAAAAAACTTGGCACTGATACACTAGCAGGCAAATATTCTATAAATATGTATGTAACAGAATAGACCCCTGTAGCCACACCCTATTGTAATAATTTTGTACAAGACATGCCTTGTAAGGTATCATTTGAAAACTCGTAGTTTGCTGGAATCATCCTGATAAAATATGTATGGCAACACTGTATGTAAAATTATAAGATTTCCCTGTATAACACATGTTCCCAATGCCACAGCTCTGACTACACAGAAGTTGGTAAACAGGTCTGTCATAAACAAAGGAACGTGTGTTCCGCTTAATTTGCATTTAAGCAGTAAACAGCAAGCAGGGAGGGAAGACAACAAAAGTTCTAACAGGTGAGAATAAAGCAACAGGGACCATCCTTCCACATAGACTTTTTGTCTCCAGGTGCCCTGCTGGAAATGTTTCTCAAGAGAGGGACTGAAACAACATAAAAGGAGGGACAAACACCCCAAGGTACCCCACACTCCCCGCCCCTTGCACTCACTGCACCTGAAGGGACAAAGGAAGCAGTCGTTAGACTCTAGAGGAGGGGTCCAGACCTACAAGGTTTGGTCAGTGAGACTGCTGTGAAAGCTTGTGGTGAGAAACTTTGCTTGAATCTGATATAGTTTGTTAAGTTAGGTATTAGTAAAAGTCTTATATTTATTTTTCTTCTAACCATTTCTGTCTTTTATACCTCATTACTTGTACTCACTTTAAAATCTCTTTGTAGTTAATAAACTTGTTTTACTGTTTTAACTAATCCAGTGTGTTTAAACTGAAGTGTCCGAATAACTATTTGAGATAATAAACTGGCATATTATTCTCTTTAAGGAATAACAGACTTAAAATATTTTGTTCTGTCCAGGAGAGGGCTGGGCAGTACAGGACATACATTTTGGGAGGGAAATCAGACTCGGGGTGTGTTGGTGTCATCCTGCAGTATAATCAAGGCAGATGAGAGCCCGAGTGCAACCCAAGTGTGGCCGGAAGGCTGCAGTTACACACAGACATTCAGGGTGTAGCCTGCATGCAGGAGGACTGTTTGTGAGCAGCTCCGGTGGGAGCTACTTCAGCAAGGCATTGCAAGGCACTCAGGGTTGCAGGGCAGCTACTCATTAGTCTGGATTGTACCCTAGTATGTCACAACAGGTTAATTAATGGAAGTACAGACAGCTGCCAAGAGACATGGCATGTGAATAGTGAAATGTTTTGTTTCTCACCATTTATCTGTGTCAGAAATGGTGTGATTGGTGACACTGTAAAATGTAACAGAAAACACAGTTGCCATTTGCAATTTATCATACATGTACACCACCCTCCAAATACTTTAGGAATATTTTTGAGAACAGCATTTATTTAACTCAACTAGTATTTACATTGTCTATGTTTAGTGTATTGTATGTAAACATCTGTGACCTTTTAAGATGGAAGGGCCAGGGATACCACCTTGGAATTAAATATAATAATCTAGCTCCAATCTTTTAAAAGTAAGATATTTAAAAGAAAGCATCTCTCAACGTAGGAGAAATATGGTAAAATATGCAAGTCCCTATCTTTTTGTAGAATAAAATTGCCTATAACTACACAAGAATCCATGTATAAATCAAGTTACTTGAAAACAATGTTTACTATTTGTTTGACAATACTATTATGCCAATAGGTAAAATCTCTTTAATACATTAGCCCTGTATGTTTTGGTACAAAGTGGTTAGATTGTCCTATGGATCAAAATATTTTACTTCTTTGATAAGAAATTACTTTTAAAAATAGTGAATTACTTGTGTGAGCTTTGTCCTCCTTTTCCCATGTCAATTACTGTCCTTTTAACATCACTGCTTGCTGTCCAAGATCATTAAGAATATGTAAGGATTTAAACACTCATTTGAAGATTTTCCAGACCTCCCTCCATATACATGGCAATACTTCTGCATCAATGGACTGTTGCAAATCCATTAATAGAAAAGTACAAGGCAAATATAAATACAAGTTTGAAAATTGTGCATTCAGTCTTATGCCATTTGATGTTTAGTGTTTTAGATATTTCTTTTTAGCAGGCAGAGTTTTATGCTCTTTGCAAACAGCTGTACACTACAATGAAACAGAAAATGTGAGAAGTAAATATTTGACAGAAATTGCTTGGTCATTACAAAACAAAAGCACTTGCAAGTTAAACCCCTGACATAAGCAAAAAAATCCCAGGTTAACTAGAAAAGGCAAAAACTACAATTTCGTAGAAAGTAATGCTTATTTTACGGAAGGAAAAGAAGATGGTAGTAACTCTATTCAAAAGCCTTATGGTGCAGGACTTCATGTACAATCAGAGAAAAAAACTTTTACCATGATGAATGAACTGAGCTTGTGTGTAGGTGGGTTGCCCTCTATACAAGCATCTTGAGATCTCCCCCCCTCCCCCTCAAAAAATAGTGGAGTCCTCCAATAATTTAAAGAAGCTTTTTTCAATGTAATGTGAAGTATTACTCAGGAGTGGTATGTTTTCTTTGCTAATTCTCTATGAGATGTGGCATAGGGATTCCTAATTATTACAGTCTGCGTGGTACCTCAACATATTCAAGCTTTTTTCCTTTGTGCAATGCGAAAGCCTACTCAAAGCAATAGCCTTTGTCAACACAATGAAAGGTATATACTCATGCAAATGATGGTGCAATGTGATTGTTCAGACCATTAATATATGAATTCGGTCCAGACAAAACAAACAGTGGCCAGTCACAGATTCTGCTAAAATATTAAAATTTAATTATACCTTTTCTACATAGGACTATAGCAAGGCATGAGAAAAGGTATTCTTCAAATAAAGAACAGATATACATCTAAAACAATATATATAAGTTCTAAACTGCAAATTGACAATGAAGTCACAAATACTTTAATATTTAGTACAATATAGTGTACATTTTCATATATAATATAAATTAGATCTTAATTCCATCCGCCATTTACTTTTCAGTGACAGTGGTCTAAATTTTACATATTATATACATTAAAATACTAAAAAGTTAAAAACCTTTTAATATAGGTACAATTCAATAAGTGGGAAAATACATTAGATCTGTCATTTTGTACACTATCTAAATCAAACTTTCTATACAGTGTTCTCTGCAAAAATAAATGGCACTTTTACATGCAACAAGACACACAATACAAGTGTGTGTGTTAATAGCATATCATGTGAGGGGGAGGTCAACTAAAAGAAAATCTCATTCATCCACACAGTTGAGAATCAGAAATAAAATTGGTGAGAAACATTTTGACAAACCCACTCTTCTTCGTGTTATGTTAATGCTAATGAAAGTATACTGCTTTCAATACTAATCTAACATTAAAAAACAAAGATACAGTGTACTATGAAATTTAAGTCATGTAACAGTATCACAGACTAGACAACATAATGGACAGGAAACAGATCCTTTATTAATTTAAAAAAAAAAAAAAAAAAAAAAGTCAGCCCTGGCTCTGAGTCGCAGCATCTAGGCTGCTTTTGTGTTGACAGTTTCCAAAATTACTTCTGCCACTCTGAATTGCGCATCAGTAGTCAGAGGAGTTTTCCAGACTTCATTATGCCATTGTGTAACCATAGCTTCCACAGTGTAATGCCACAAGAAGCCTGTTCTTAAGGATTTCTTTGCTTGGGTATTCAGGTAACTTGAGCATGTTGATACTAAAATAAAAGCATCGCCATTAAATATGAGAAGCAGGAGTAAAAATTTAATTGTTTTGTACTAGGTAATTAACATGAAATTGTCCTCTCAAATATGTATTCAAATCAGAAAACCCTGAAGTTGTCATATTTATGAAAAAATGCACTGCTGCATTGCAGTACCCTTCTGCATTCAAATGTACTGCAGGAAAATAAGTTCCTTGTGGTTTAAAGTAAAAAGCAATATAGTAATTTAGCTTGAAGCATCCCTTAGTGATATTGTACTGCCTTCCATTAACTACATGGGAGTAGTTAAGGTTTTTCCTTCAAATATATAACTACTTATGGCTTAACAACCAGTTTTAGGTTTTCCTTTTAATTAGGTTGTACAAGAGGGTTGCACCTGAAGTGTAAAACAAATAATGAAAACAATGAAAGGATTCTGCTCAGTTTCTTAATGCATTTAAATGAGGCTATTTAACATACCATGTACTTGATGTTGGTAGCAAATTTCGAGTGTATGGCACAGCTGCAATTGTGAAATTCTGCAATCCACTGCCACCCATTATATGGGCAAAGCCACCATGAGGAACCCTGGAACTGAAAGCATCCACCGATTATTAACACATTAAAAGGGTACTTGGGAGCTGAAAAACCAGCACACTGTAGGAATCTTGTATTGCCACTGCTAATGACCAGCTGCTAAAAAATGGTTAGCTACCTTTCCGTAACTATCGTTCTTCGAGATGTGTTGCATGTGTCCATTCCATTAGAGGTGCACATACAACTCGTACACAGTTCTCAGAGAACTTTTTCCCCTCAGCAGTACTTACTGGGGCAGCTCAAGCACCCTCTACTGCCAAGCCCCACTGCGTGCTGGTAGAAGAGGGTGGAGTCACCCCCAAGCCTCCTCAGCTCCTTCTTACTGGATAGATTCTGATAGAAAGGGGAAGGAGGGCAGGTTGTGGAATGGACATGTACAACACATCTGAAAGAACAACAGTTACAGAAAGGTAGGCAACAGTTTTTTCTTCAAGTGATTGCACATGTCCATTCTATTATAAGTGATTCAAAAGCAGATTAACATGGAGGTGGGCTCGGACAGTCATTGTAAAATTGGCATTGTTCCTGGACTGATGGGAAACTGCATAATGAGCAGTAAAAGTGAGTACTGATAACCAGGCTGCTGCTTTGCAAATATCTAATAGGTACTTGCACTAGGAAAGCT